CGGACCTGGATATCTCCGAGACCGCCTTCTGCCTCAGATTACCTCCCATCGGCCGGTACGCTCCCACAGAGTGGGTCTCCTCAGGGTGCCGTCAGCCAGACAGTGCCGGCTGGTGACCCCCAGGGGGAGGGCCTTCTCGGTGGGAGCTCCCACCCTATGGAACGAACTACCCCCAGAGATCAGGGTGATCCCTGATCTCCCTTCCTTCCGCCGCGCCCTCAAGACATGGCTATTTAAGCTAGCAGGACTGGCCTAAGGGGTAATTTTTAGTTGGGTTTTAAAATAATTTTTAAAATAACAAAGGCCAAATTAATATTTCTTTTTAATTATGTTTTTAATGGTAGTATTTTTGTATTTTTGTATTTGTTTTTATTAGGCTGTTAGCCGCCCTGAGTCCGCAAGGAGAAGGGCGGGGTAAAAATATAATTAAATAAATAAATAAATAAATAAATTAAGTTTGATGGCCTGAGTTTGACTCGAAGGCCACTACTGCAGCAAATCCTTTTAAAGGTATTGTGTGAAATGATCGATAGAGCGGACCCGGTGTCCAGCTCCATTGATAAGGAAACCCCTTGTAACTGTACATCAATGCGAAGTTTCTTTTTAAGGGGCTTGTGTGTCCCTGTTCGCAAAATGCTTCTATGCAACACGCAGAAACCCACCCTGTGTTGGCTGGGGACCATGGTACCTTTCCAAAGGAATTCTTCCCGAGGTTGCACCTGCTGGTGACCCAAACAAATGGTGGCAATGTGGCCTTGCTTACCACATGCCCGGCAAATGGTGGAGCAGAATCGGCAGTCTGTGCGCTTGTGGCATCCTCCGCAACCGAGACACTGAAGGGCTGCTAGGGCCTTGTCTGATTTCTTTCGCGGTCGTCGTACCACCGGCTGGTGAAATCTATCCACCTCCTCTTCAGGATCCAGGTCTTGCACTTCCTGAGCGACCTCTTGATGGATGGTCGCGATGGCTGGAGCGTTTCTGGCAAGCCGCAAGGCCTTCACAGCGCCGCCTGCTGCTTCTTCAGCTGCAACTTCATGTAAGACATCTTGGAAGGTGACTTCAGCTTTAGCAAAGTTTTTTGTTGCAGCTCTCTGCTTCTAAGGCCCCAGATGAAACTGTCCCGTAAGCGTTCTTCCAGGACCTTGAATTCACAAGGCCTAGCAGCTTGTCTCAAGGCAGCGATGAACTCTGCAGCAGACTCACCTGGCTTTTGGTCCCTCTGCTCAAAAGCATGCCTCCATGCAATTACAGATAATTTGGGATGGAAGTGATCCTTCAGCATATTTTTTAAGTCCGTGTAGGTGACAGACTCCAGTGGTGCAGGGGCTACCAGGTTTTCGGCCACGTTGAAAGTGTCCTGACCGCAGATGCACAGCAGGGTTGATGCTTTCAGGCCGTCTTCCCTAACCTGGTTAACCCTTAGGTAATTTTCTACCTGGGCCACATAGGAGTTCTAGCGCTCCGGGTGAGAGACATCGAACTCCGACAGACGTCCTATCTTCGACATCTTTTGCTTGGAATGCCTCGCTGCAAGACTTCGTTGAGGGGAAGAGCCCGTTTGCCAAGCTCACCTCCAGCGATGCTGTACTGACAGGTGAGTGCAGAGCTGGACGCCGATTCCCAGGCTTCAGGTGCTTCAGATGAGGCTTATCCTCTTCTTATTGCCTTTTCCTTGCAGCATCCCACCTTCGTCGCCACTTTTATGTTTGAGGTTCGAGGCATCGAAGCACGAGACATTGTTGTAACCAAACTTCTTTTATTGCTCCTTAACTTCACTCAACTCTGCAAACAGGCATGCAGGCCTTTTATAGTTTCCCAACCCCCAGGCAGTCCAGCCAATAGGGAAAACCCTTTCTTTGCACCATGTGCATGCGCAGAAGTCCGGCGCCAGCAAGTCTGGTCCCAGGCAGCTTTTGGGGTGCCTGGGACCGTTTGCAACATTTCTGGGCCTGCTGGGTTGCCTCATCAGGCCCAGGACACAACACTATCTATCATCTATCTATCATCACTTTTTTAAAACCACCATCTCCCTCACAGGGGGACTCTGGGCAACATACAATAAGATGAAGAAATAATGTAGACTGAAAACAGTGACTGTGAGAGGTACCTAGTGGATGATTACTTAAATATGAGCCAGGAGTGTGCAGTATCAGCCAAAAAGCTAATACAATCCTTGGTGGTTTTGGAAGAAATAACCGTGTTTCATCGTGGTTTATCCAAGCTGGGAATAAACATGACAACTGCTTTGGGAAGAAGGTTGTAGTTTATTGAAGAGGGGAGCCAGACAGAAAGATGACTCTGGCAGAAAAAGAGGAGAGAAAAAGGGCTGAGCACATGTGGGGAGTAGGTTTTTATATCCTCTGGAGCCTTTTGTTTGGAAGTTATTTCCTGTTCCTGTTTGAGGCTTTGTATTTCCTGTGTCATGTATTTTGACCTGTGTCCCTTTGTCATCTGTGAGTTAATCCTATTATGTCCCAAAGGTCATATCCTGCTTCCCTGGTGCTGGGACTAAGGACTCTTAGAGTTTGGGTGGAGTATGCAGATTTTAGGTATCTTTGTCTTCTTGATATCCTAGCTGGGGCTTTTCTGATGGTTTACATCTGCATTTGTACAGAGCTGGCTTCTGCTTGGGACAGAGAGACTTGGGGGCAGGGTTGGTTTCTGCTTTTAAAATCCTTTTGAGGAAATATATTTTTCTGCCCTTTTAATATTTCCTTCTCTGGGGGGCTGACTTCCCACAGTTGTATAAACAGAGGCATAGAATCAAAATCATGTGAGGTATTAGTACTGCTTTATAAATCCTTAGTAAGACCACACCTGGAATACTGCATCCAGTTTTGGTCATCACATTACAAAAAAGATGTTGAGACTCTGGAAAAAATACAGAGAAGAGCAACTAAGATGATTAAAGGCCTGGAGACTAAACCATATGAAGAATGGTTGCAAGAATTGGATATGGCTAGACCAGAGAAAAGAAGGACTAGGGCTGACATGATAGCAGCATTCCAATATTTCAGGGGCTGCCACAAAGAAGAGGGGGTCAATTTATTTTCCAAAGCATTAGAAGGCAAGACAAGAAATTAATCAGGAGAGAAGCAACCTGGAATCAAGGAGAAACTTCCTAACAGTGGGGACAATTAACCAGTGGAACAGTTTGTCCTCAGAGGTTGTGGGTGCTTCATCACTAGAGGTTTTTAAGAAAAGACTGGGCAGCCACCTGTCTGAAATGGTGTAGGGTCTCCTGCTTGAGCATGGGGCTGGACTGGAAGACCTCCAAGGTCCCTTCCAGCTCGATTCTGATTCTGAAGCCAGATATTGTTTTGGAACCTGACTGTTGGAGGAATATAACTTTAGGCACAATGCATTACTAAGTAGCTTGACTGTATAGTTTCTAAAGATAGATATCAGCGGTATTAACTCCTGAATGGCTATTTAACACAAATGATGGTAGTATCAGAGTAAGTTCATTGCTGAGCAGAAATCAGTTGGCAGAACAAAGGTTTGTGTGGGTAGGAGGAAGGATTGGCAAGCAAAACAAAAAAAAGCAGAAGGCTAAGGCAAAGCAGAACTGCAAACAGAATGAAGTTCAGCTTGAATATAACTGTTACCCTTTCTTCTTTAATATTATCTAGCAAAGTCAAAAACTGTCAGTGTGGAAATTTGCTAGGAAATTTGAGGCAAAGATTGTTTGTGTACCCTCCCAGCCTCCAGTTCCATAATTCCACTGAATGCCTACCTAGACCATAATATAATGTGTAACAAGAAACTGAGATCAACTATGACTGGAAAAAAAATGACTCCAAAAGCCTGTTAACTTGTTTTACCTTTCATATAAATATAGCTAGTTAGCGGAATTTCAGTAATGGGATCGACTTCATTGACAAGCTTAGATATCTTCCCACGGGTTTTCCTTGTGATGTAACTGTTGATGTGCTGCTCAGTTTCTGCAGTGTTCTTAAAATTTTCCCAAAAGATGTCTCCTCCATAGAAGTTTTTGAGGCCGTTTAAGAATAGTTGTTCAGGATATAGCTGGTTTTGCACAAAGAGACATTTCCCGATTTCCATCTGGTGTCCAGCTCCTCCATTATTTAACATGTGTGTGAGTTTTCGGAAGCCTTCATGTATCATCCTCTCCTGGATCTCTGATGGCCTAAAATCAAGTCCTTTCAAAATCTGATCTGAAGTGTTATTCTTTGCACCCAAGGCCATCATTGCAAAGGCAGAGGAGATGCCTAAGGGAGAGAAGGCAACATTGCCCTTGCTTGTGCCACCTTGCTGGCTTTCCCTGGAAGAGACCTTCCTGAAGATCTTGAAGGCAAAGTCAGAATTGCTGTCGACTAGTACCTGGATTGGTATCTGGGCACCTCTTGGGTGAGACTCATACTGGTAATTGTCACAATTATTCTTGTTAGGATGGCTAGAAATTTGTGGGTAAGGATTGTCAGCGGGGGTTCCAGCAATAAAAAACAACAAGAGAAAGATGGTTTTCATTTTCCTCCTCTAAGAAAAAGAAAAAAAGAAAAAAAATGCATTTGTTCATTTAGCACATTATTTTGATTTGATTCATTTAAGAGACAACTCAATTAAATTCTGGTATGTTATAGGTACGTTGTTCGTCCATCGATTTCGACGAAGACCTTGACATCTTATGGATTATGGGCTATCAGCGGTGTGTCCGTAGATGGCTGATGAGACCGATGTTAGCACGGAATGTTCTGCCACATACTGAACAGAGAAATGTGGACACTATTGCTTCAGCATTTGCAGCTCTGGCTCTGGTATACATCAATGTCACATACAGTACAATATCTCCAGTTCTTAGCTACAATGTTATACTAGTTCCCACCAGTGGATGCCACTATTTCTCAACATAAACCTCTATTTCTCAACTGAAAATATCAATTGAATGTAATGATACAGTTAAACTGGCAATATTTACCCTAGTCTCATTCATTAAAGTTCCTCACTGATTAATGGGAAATAACTATTACTATATTATATAGCCAATTTTATTAATTTCTACCTCTTTACCACTTTCAGCATCTTTCTCAAGATAAATGGTCTAGATAAGCATTTACTGTATAGCACAATCATCCCTGATAGGTATGGAACTTAGGTGCAGTTCTAACTGTCAGGAAAATTCTCCTTAGTTCTAGGCTGGCTCTCTCCTTGCCACATGTTCCTTATGTCAGGGCTTTTCAACCTTTTCGCCCATTGTACCACTTTTAGGATATGGCAATATCTGAGTATTACCAGTTGCCTAGAAAGGTATCAAAAACTTGATGACCCCCCCCCAAAAAGGAAAAAAGTGATAAAGTACAGGTAGTCCTCGACTTACAACAGTTTGCTTAGTGACTGTTCGAAGTTACAATGGCACTGAAAAAAGTGCCCCCCAAGCCACAGCCGAGCAAGACACCTGCCTGCCCACCCGGCGGCGCTCTTCCTTCTGTCCAAGGTTTTCATTGTTGTGAGCATTTCTGTTGAGGATTGGTAGCAGGGGTGGGGTGGAGGGGTGTTTGGATTTTATTTCTCCCGTCAGCTGGGTGATTGCAGCAGGGTTTGGTCACTTCACATGACCCTGAGACACTGACCGTCATAAATAGGAATCAGTTGCCAAGCATCTGAACATAAATCACAAGACCCTGGAGATGCTGCAACGTTCCAGTTGATCGGCACTTCTTCTGCATACCCCATCCAAACTCTAAGAGTCCTTAGTCCCAGCACCAGGGAAGCAGGATATGACCTTTGGGACATAATAGGATTAACTCACAGATGACAAAGGGACACAGGTCAAAATACATGACACAGGAAATACAAAGCCTCAAACAGGAACAGGAAATAACTTCCAAACAAAAGGTTCCAGAGGATATAAAAACCTACTCCCCACATGTGCTCAGCCCTTTTTTTCTCCTCTTTTTCTGCCAGAGTCATCTTTCTGTCTGGCTCCCCTCTTCAATAAACTACAACCTTCTTCCCAAAGCAGTTGTCATGTTTATTCCCAGCTTGGATAAACCACGATGAAACACGGTTATTTCTTCCAAAACAACCAAGGATTGTATTAGCTTTTTGGCTGATACCACACACTCCTGGCTCATATTTAAGTAATCATCCACTAGGTCCCTCTCACAGTCACTGTTTTCAGTCTACATTATTTCTTCATCTTATTGTATGTTGCCCAGAGTCCCCCTGTGAGGGAGATGGGTGGTTTTTAAAAAGTGATGATAGATAGATGATAGATAGATAGATAGATAGATAGATAGATAGATAGATAGATAGATTACATTTGAAATTTTGAAAATATTTTGGGCATGTTGTCAAAATAACTGTCACTGAAAGCTTTTTCATTCTTAACACATTTGTAAATTGCCCATAGTTTGAATTAAAGCATATGTTTTCTAGAAATCAGATATATAAGGTTCAAAAAAGCAACTTGCTGAAAAACCAAGACAAGAAAAAAATCATCACTCTTTTGAGTTGTATTTTCTGCTCTACTCTTTATTTTAAAAAATACAACAGAGGCCCAGTAATTAAATAACACAAACAAATAAACTTGTCCAAAAATCTGGCAGACGTAAAGGTGTCCAAAGCATATGTTGATATGTGAGAATGATCTTGGCAGACTGCAGTAAGACTTGGATTTTGTATAGTATATTTCCTGAAAGTAGTATATTCTCCTACACAGATAGATTAAGAGGGGACATAGAAGAAATCCTTAATTCTCTATTTCAGGGCTACCACCTGTGGTACATTGGCCGCCTGCAGGTACCACCTGTGGTACATTGGCCGCCTGCAGGTGGTACGCAACCATCCTAGAAAAGTGGTAGCGGGGGATGGGAATGAGCTGAAACAGCACAGCACAGCACAAGCCTGAGTGAGAGACGGCTGGATCTGCAGGGCTGTCAAGGCTCAGCAGAAGCGCCAGGATCAGTGCCGCTTTCCAGCTGATCGGCACTTCTTCGGGGCTGTGAGGACTCAGTGGAAGTGCCAGGATCAGTGCCAGGCTCCAGCTGGAGCTCGGCACTGATCCTGGTGCTTCTGCTGAGCCCTGAAGAAGCACCAATCAGCTGGAAAGTAGCACTGATCCTGGTGCTTCTGCTGAGCCCTGACAGCCCTGCAGCTCCAGCCGTCTCTCGCTCAGGCTTGTGCGGTGCTGCACTGGTTCAGCTCATTCCCCTCCCCCGTTACCACTTTTCTAGGATGGTTGTATACCACCTGCAGGTGGCCAATGTACCACAGGTGGTACCTGTACCACTGGTTGAAAAGCCCTGCCTTATGTTACCCACATATTTCCCACCTGTTTCTTATATTTGTGTAGAGTCCTTGGTGTTCTTGGAGATGGTTGTTTGCTTGCAGATATTTCATTACTCAAATTAGATGGTATCATTAGTACTAGTTAGTGTGCAGTTTGTTCCCTCTTTACATATATTGTTGTTGGTATGGTTTTATATTTTATATATTTATTATATTTTTATCATACATGGGCAAAATAATCCTTATTTCTCTTTTTTAATATTTGAAAGCAATTATTCATAACAGCTACATATTTTTTCCATTATTAGAGGTCATGTCTTTTATCAGAGCCATGGTAGCATAGTGGTTAGAATGCAGTCTTGCAGGCTAATTCTGCTGATTGCCAGCAGTTCGATCCTGATCGGTTCAAGGTCGACTCAGCCTTCCATCTTTCCGAGGTCGGTCAAATGAGGACCCAGATCGTTGGGGGCAATATGCTGACTGTAAACTGCTTTGAGAGGACTGTAAAGCACTGTGAAGCAGTATATGAGGGCAATTCACGGAATGTGGCTTTTAAATCCGGGCGACATGCTGGCACTTAGATCAGCCAGAGATAATTTGAAAAGTGCCATAAAAGGTGCAAAGCAAGCCCATTGCCAGAAAATTCAGAACTTTTTTCAGGACCCAACAAACACCAAGCGAATGTCGCAAGGAATCCAGGCCATTACGGATTATAAGGTGGCTCCATCAAGATGCAAGGACGACACAGGCTTCCTAAATGAGCTGGATACATTTTTTGCAAGATTTGAGGCATCAAATAGCACTCCTTCTAGGAAAGCCCCATCCTGATGAGCAACTGTTTAGCTTTTATGTCACCTCTGTCTGGAAAACACTGCAGAAAGTTAATATTCGGAAAGCAGTGGGCCCAAATATCCCTGGATGTGTCCTTAGGGAATGCGCAGATGAGCTGGCTTGTGTTCTCACAGATATTTTCAATCTGTCATTGCAGCAGGCAGTGGTCCCATTGTGTTTTAAGACGGCCATCATTTTGCCAGTGCCAAAAAAAGTCCGCAATTACAGGCCTCAATGATTACTGTCCGGTTGGACTGATATCCATCATTATGAAATGCTCACTTAGGACTAGATTCCTCAAAGAACTATGCTGTTTTAATTTGAAACCCCTCCAAGAAAAGCTTTGTAGCTATCAAAGTTCCAATCAGTTAAGCAGGAAGTACATTTATTTTTTTACATTTTTACCATCTATGAAATGGTGATGTGGGTGAAGTCTTCCATCATTTTATTCATTTTTTATTAGTAACAATTGTAGTATGTATGTATGTATGTATGTATGTATGTATGTATGTATGTATGTATGTATGTTATACCTTCACTTCAATCTTGACCTGAGGTAACTATGGACAAGTCCCTGCAGTTTTCTTGACAACTTCTTCCTAAGACTGTGAGAGAGTAACTGGCTTTGTCTCCTAGAATTTAGCTTAGTGCCTGTAACCACACAGTATGTCAAGCTTCCTTTCTAATAGGGTAGACTGTAAGTATCCATTTTAGTTTTTCCAGGCTCAGACCAACATTTTATTCACTCTAAGAAAATACATAATGAAAGAAATAACATTTTAGCAATAGCATCACTTATCAGTGCACTTAGAAGGGAATGGCAAGAGGAAGGAAGGATTTTTTTAAAAAAAGAACATTTATTTTTATTTCATTATAAATGAAGCAACAGTAACAGTATGTTATGGGATAAGACAGCATTATAAGCTTCCATTCTTACTATATATACTGCCCAGAATCCCCCAATCTTGACAACACCACTTACTTTCAAAATACTAAGGATACCATGAAATGTATAGACAAACTGACATTTATATATATATATATATATATATATATATATATATATATATATATATATATATATA